TTGAACCGCCAGCCTTCTGGTGAGCAGTCTAGTGCCTTAGGCACTATGCTACCAGAGTGTTTACTAGGTGTTAAATAAATGCCACACGCTCCCTGTTCTGGGGAAACAGCAGCAGATTAGCTTATGTAAATTTGGTTTGATATGTTCATATCCCTTTAAGTTAAACTGAGTCAAAGTTCGCTTTGGGAAGTATTGGATATTGTGTAACGTCTAGCTCTCCAAGGATCCTGGAGGGGGCAGCCCGAGGAGCCAGCTAACCCCGTCCCACTCCCTCCCAGATCCCTTGGCCCCAGCAGGTTGGATCAGAAGTAGGAAACTAATCCAAGCTTGGACAACCAGATTTCTTCCCTCAGGAAATTAGGCCTGGGACATGCAGGAGTAGGTCTGAAAGACCCAAGGGCTTGGGGACTAAGGCTTCCATTTGGACAGCCTCCACAGGCCCTAAATATGCAAGGGGCAGAGAGGCTAGTCGGCTGAGAGGAGGAAGCAGACACAGAGAGCGAGGCCCAGGCCAGAGGCCAGGCCCAGGGAGGCTGTGAGTGCTGCGACTGTGCCGGCGAACAGCTGCCCAGGAGCCCAGGGACCCGCTGGCCCAGCTCTTCCGTCTCTGTGCTCCCGCCGCACCAGCTGCAGATGCCCTTCTTTTCGGACTCGGAACGAGCGTCGATCATTTAAAGAAAACGGCCCCTGGCCCAGACCGTCCTGTGTCATGTAAGCAGGTGTATGTGACCTGGGTCCCACTCCAGGGGACCGATCATAAGGCTTCCTGTAGGGGGCACCTCCTGCAGCGCAAGGGAGCTCTGGGCTTGGCCCATCCCTGCCTTGAACACGTCCCTTCACCTGCCTGATCCAACCTGTACGGCGGGGATCCAGCCTCCAGAACTCACCTCCCCGGGTTCTCAGGACACTCCAGACACAGGGAGGTGGGGGGCACGCTCTGTGGGGGCAGGCCGTGCCCTGGCTGGAGCTACGGGGCTCACCTGTTCAGGCCTTGGCAGTAGCCGATGGTGGGGTTGTGCCAGGAGAAGGCCAGCAGCACCCGGCGGAGCTTGTCGGGGAAGCCAGAGGTGGGGCAGGTGAAGTGCTTGTTGTTGGGGAAGGTGCGGTGCAGGTCCAGCTCAATCTGACGGGCAGCGGGGTGCTCACAGGTCTGGCACCGGGTCAGCAGCTTCTGGTAATGGCCAGGGGCCTGCAGGTGCTGCACGCGGAGCTGGACAAGCCACCTCCAGACCCGCGGCCGGTGCTCTCGGGGCACGCCTGCCCGCAGCAGCTGCTTGAGCTCAGCTGAGGGCGTCAGCTCCCCCAGGGTAGCCCAGCGCTCCTGCAGCGGCCGGCCCTCCTGAGCCAACAGGTGGTGGGAGCGGACTTCCAGGGCCTGGACCTTGGCCAGCAGCTTCAGGTCCTCTACCTCGTAGTCGGGCACCGTCAGGAAGCCATACTCATCGTACTCACTGCCAGAGAAAGCCCACGTTAGTGATGTCCTGCAGGGCCCTTCCCTAGGCAGGGGGCACCATGGCGAGAAGAGGGGCCCCTGGGCAAGGGCCTACAACTCCCAGGCCCTCGTCCCTGCCCTGGCTTCACTGCAGGTCAGCCAGGCAGCTCTGAGCAGGTCACCGCGGTTCCCTGAGCCTCCCTGTGCTCATGCGTACGAAGGGCACAGGGACTCCTGCTCTGCCCAGGGAGCGCCTGTTGAGACTGCTGGGGCCTGGACAGGGCCTGGTGCACAGTGGGTGCCCATTCATTCTGCGCAAATACAGGGACTCTCTTATGGCTCCACACAGCCAGCCTCAGGCCTAAGGGGTCCTGCACTGCTCAGCCACAACCCCAGCTGCTGGGCCAGTTGGCCAAGGACGGGTGGGGAGCAGAGTGCTCCGACAACAAGCGGAAGTGGGAGTGCTGGGGATCTGTTCCAGGTGACCTTTCAGTCCACACTTGTTCGTCCCTACTGTGTGCCAGGCACATGCCAGCTCATTTAACTCTAATGATTCCACAAAGCAGGGATCAGAGTTCACCCTTATGGAGGCTGACTAAGAGGCTCAGAGAGGGAATGTGACTTGTCTAAGGTCACACAGTGAGAGAGCTGGGTCTGACTCCAGAGCCTGGGCTCCTGCACTGTACACGCCACCTCCAGGGCCCAGCACCACAGCCATAGCCCCTTCCACTGTGTCCAACTGCCCATGTCCACTGTGCTCTGCTGGGGCTTGGCTCCAAATAGGGAGCAGCTAGTTTCCCCTGCCCCGTCTGATGAACTCTCTAGGAGGCAGCTGGGGCCATGGAAAAACACGGGCTCTGGAGTCAGACTCTGGCCCACTGCACTAGTACGCTGGGTGACCTTGGCAAGGGGTTGCCTCCTCTGAGCCTGCCCCTTCCCAGCTGTGAACAGGGCTCCTGCCGGCCACACACCCATGAACGGATGCAGAGCTAAGGCTGCAGGGCCCCCGAGGTCACACAGACCGGCCGCAGCTGCCAGGCTCACCTGATGGGGCTCAGTCCAACGCCGTCAGCTGTGGCCTCGCTGGCCTCCCACTGCAGTGCCTCCTCGGTAAGTTGCTTCAGCAGCTCCGAGCACTCGCCAGCCTCGCTCCCCATGGCCTCCTGCAGCCTCCGCAGCCCCGCCAGGTACTTGCTCTCCAGCTGGCAGTTCTTGGCTTGGAGGTAGGCACACTGCAGGAGGGGAGGGTGGGACTGGTCAGGCCACCTGGTCGGGCTGGGGCTGCCCCAAAGGCCTGGGGCCTGAAGGGCGATCCCGCCAGCTCTCATCACCCACCCTCTCCTCACCTGCAGACCTTCATATGTGGGCAAGGAGATGGGCCCTAAACGTGAGAGGTCTGTAGCAGGCAGAAGGACTCCAGGTAAGAGAGGACTAGGTTCTGGGCTGAGGCCAGGTTCAGAAGAAAGGAGGGGAGTGTGGGCAGGGACACAGTCCCATCCCGTCCGCCACCTGCTAACTGTGTGACCTGTGGCAAGGTACTAAACCTCTCTGGGCCTCAGCTTCCTCACTGATCAAATGGGGATGAAGCAGATAAAATGGTAAGATGGTGAGGATCAGAGGTGCTCATGTGTGTAACGCCCTTGGCAGGGCATTGGGCCCAGAGCACGCTCTCTGGGGGTGGTCTACTGAGCAGTGCCCAGGGAGGGACACGCAGCTCCAGACACTGCCCTCCTGCCCCCTGCTGCCGCGACACGCCCCACCCCACCAATACTGCATTTCCGACCCCTTCCCGGCCTTCGTGCACTCTTTCCTTCTGAAACACTCCCCACCTTGGAATTTTGTTCTATTTGCACAAGCCGGTGGTGCTGGGCAAGCCAGGGGCCCTCTGTGGGCCTTGATGCCATTTTCGTTAGATGGGGACAGTAAAACTCTGCCTCCTGGCGTTGCCGTGACCCTGGGCTGCCCTGGCTCCTGTCACCCTGGGTAGCGGGTGGGAGCCTTGCAGCCAAGGCTGCAGTTCTGTGGCACTACCTGCAAACGTTTACTGAGCGTCAACCACAAGCCAACCTCCGAGCCCCTTCCCCAAGCTGGTCCACCTTGCACCCATGTGCGCTTCCCTCCATCACCAGGGCTGCCTTCCAAGTGCCACCCCCAGTGCCCTTCTCCAGGATTTCTGCTGCAACTCAAAGAGTTTCTCTGCTTCCAGTCCCACCTGTTCAACTCCATCCTCCACGGAGTTTTTCCACTGAGGCCTTGTGCCACTCTGCTGGATAACACTAACTCACCTGAGGGCTCAGCTCAGAAGGCACCTCTGCCAGGAAGTCTTCCCTGACTTGCCCCCCACCTTGTGTCCAAGCCCCTCACTAGTTAGTGGCTTCCCAGGACAGGAACTGGGTTTACTTGTCTCAGTGTCCCTGTGTCACAGCTGCCTGGTGATACTGCTGAACAGGGGCCCCAATCAGCCATGTCACAGGGTCTGCAGACTCATAAGACACAGGCCCTGCTTGGTGCACAGGGAGAGCAGACAAGGCGAGGAGACAGGGAGACAGTGGGGTGTGGTGGTTCAGGGACTGCTGGCTGGCAATGGGGGCTGGACCCGAGCCCCCGTCTCTCACCTTTGTCAGCAGGACCTTTTCCTTCTCAGCCACCTGTCTCCAGATCTTTGTGACCTGATGGATCTCAGCGTTGAGGAAGCGGTTCTGGGTCCGGTACGCCTCCATGTCATCCTGGAGAGAAGGGCAGAAAAGCACGTGCTGAGTGAGGGACACCGTGAACGTCCTCCTGGTCCCTCAGACGATCTGCCGGCACTGCGTCAGTGATTCCCAACAACGGTGACAGAAAGGAAGTCTGAAAATAAAACAGAAATTACCCCCAACTCTCTTTGTTTGGGGGTAAATGTTGACCGTTTGGTCTCATATACATGATTCTGCTGTTTTTGATTCAAGCCCTGGATGCTTTTCATTGTAGGGATGCTGAGGGGAAGGTCACTAAGCCTACAGTCTTCCCTCTGTTAGGTGTCCAATGGAGGGAGTGAGTGGGCTGCTGCTGGGCGTGCAAGGAGACGTGGGACGAGCACTGGGCTGCCGGGCGTGCAAGGGACGCGGGCCGAGCACTGGGCTGCCGGGCGTGCAAGGGACGCGGGCCGAGCACTGGGCTGCCGGGCGTGCAGGGGACGCGGGCCGAGCACTGGGCTGCCGGGCGTGCAGGGGACGCGGGCCGAGCACTGGGCTGCTGGGAGTGCAGGGGACGCGGGCCTAGCACTGGGCTGCCGGGTGTGCAAGGGACGCAGGACAAGCACTGGGCTGCCGGGCGTGCAGGGGACGCGGGCCGAGCACTGGTGAGGTTGAGTGTGCCCTAGGCCTGGAGAAAGAGCTGGTGACACGCAGTGGCAGCTCTCACCCGTATCTGCTGGAGCGGATGTTACCGAGTGCGACGCAGTGAACTGTTCAGTGCGGCCCCTCCAGCGGCCTGTCGCCACTGCCCGGGGGCTCTCCGTGGCATCCCCGCTGACCCTGCTCTGCTCTGTCTCCCACCTGGGCCTGGGCCAGGGCCAGAGGCTGCGGCCAAGCTCAGCGTGCTCTCTGCTGGCTCCCATTCTAGCCTCCAGGCCAGGATGGGCAATTCCCAGCTGTGACTCCCCTTCCTCCTCTCCAAGCATGTCCCTGCCTCAGATGCAAACCTCGGGCTCTGGGCCTCTCAGCAATGCTACCGAGAGCAGAGGCATTTTTCTGGCAGCTCTCTGCTTGCTTCCCTGCACTGCCCTGACTCCGCTATCCTCACGTGGAAGGGGTCGGTGGGACCAGGGAGAACACTCGCATCCGCAGTCCGAGGACCAGCCTCCTGCGAGCATCAGCATTTCCAGGACCACTCCCCCACTCCCAGGCCGGTCTCCTGTTTCACACACAGAGACTGCACCACCACGGTAACCTTCAAGCCCAGGAGGTATACCCCAACAAGCGGGCTGCACTGTCTCCCAGAGCCCTCCCTGTAACCCTGAAGGAACATCCTTTTGTCCTTTCATATCCCTCACACAGATGAGGGCTGAGGCCCTGAAGGGATCTGCACCTGGCCCAAGATCACACAGTGAAGGTGAGCAGAGCTGTGACTCCAGCCCAGGTCCGGCTGAGGTCCTCACTACCTGGGCACCCTCTCAGCACCCTCCTGGCTGGAACCCTCCCAGAGGCCACCACTCCCATCCCTGGCTTTCAAGGCTACTCTCTGAAGCCTTCTGGTCGAATGTGTGCTGGCTGGTCTGACATCTGTCCTGCCCCACAGCACAGTAACAAGGCCATCAGAGACACTGGCACTGCCCGCGTGCTGGCGCCATCTGGTGGCTGAAGCACGGAGCCTGGATCTAAGTCCTGGCCACACCACTCAAGACCCTGGATAGGTTACTTAACCTTTCTGGGCCACCTTCCCTGGTCTAGGAAATGGGCTAATCACAGTACCACCTCAGTGGGCTGCTGAAAGGACTGTTAGGTGTTGTTCAGTCCGTTCTGACTCATAGTGACCCTACGTACAACAGAACGAAACCCTGCCCAGTCTGCGCCAGCCTCACAATCCGTACCATGCTTGAGCCCATCGTCGCAGCCACTGTGTCAGTCCATCTCATTGAGGGTCTTCCCCTTTTCACTGACCCTCCACCTTACCAAGCATGATACCCTTCTCCAAGAAATGGTCCCTTCTGACAACATGACCAGAGTAGGTGAGACGAAGTCTGGTCATTCTTGCTTCCAAGGAGCATTCTGGCTGCACTTCTTCCAGGACAGATTCGTTCGTTCTTCTGGCAGCCCATGGTATTTTCAATATTCTTCGCCAACACTGTAATTCAAATGCATCAACTCTTCTTTGGTCTTTCTTATTCACTGTCCAATTCTCACATGCATAGCAGGCTACTGAAAATACCAAGGCTTGGGTCAGGCACTCCATACATAGTCTTCTAAGTGATGTTCTTGCTCTTCAGCACTTTAAAGAGGTCTTTTGTAGCAGATTTGCCCAGGGCAATACACCATCTGACTGCTGTTTCCATGGATGTTGATTGTGGATCATTAATAATATGAATTTTCTGACGATGTCAATCTTTTCTCCATTTTTGTGATGCGGCTTATTCGTCCAGCTTTAAGGAGTTTTGTTTTATGTTGAGATGTAATCCAAACCGCAGACTGGACCCTTTGATCTTCAAGTCCTCTTCACTTTCATCACTCAAGGTTGTGTCATCTGCGTATCGCAGGTTGTTCATGAGTCTTCCTCCAAACCTGATGCTGCACTCCTGTTCACATGGTCCAGCTTCTTGGATGATTTGCTCAGCATACAGACTGACTAAGTATGGTGAAAGGATTCAACCCCGACACATACCTTTCCTGATTTTAAATCATGTAGTATCCCCTTATTCTGGTTAAACAACTACTTCTTGGTCTATGGACAGGTTCCTTTTGAGTACAATTAAGTGTTCTAGAATTCTCATTCTTCCCAATGTTATCCATGATTTGTTGTGATCCACATAGTCGAGTCTTTGCATTGTCAATAAAATACAGATAAACATCTTTCTGATACTCTTTGCTTTCAGTCAAGATCCACCGACATCAGCAATGATCTCTCTCGTCCCACGTCCTCTTCTGAATCTGGCCTGCATTTCTGGCAGCTCTTGTTGATACACTGCTGCAACCGTTTTTGAATTATCTTCAGCAGAATTTTACTTGAATGTGGTATTAATCATCTTGTGTGATAATTTCACATTCTGTTGGATCATCTTTCTTTGGTATGGGTACAAATATGGATGCCACCTAGACAGTTGGCCAGGTAGCTGTCCTCCAATTTTCTTGGTATAAATAAGTGAGCACATCCAGCATTGCACCCATTTGTTGAAACATCTCAACAGGTATTCTGCCAATTCCTGGAGCCTTGTTTTTCACCAATTCCTTCAGTGCAGCTTGGAAATCTTCCTTTAATACCATTGGTTCTTGATCATATGCTACCTCCTGAAATGGATGAACATCGACCAGTTCTTTTTGGTCCAGTGACTCTGTATTCCTTCCATCTTCTTTTGAGGCTTCCTGCATCATTCAATATTTTGCCCATAGAATCCTTCAGTATTGCAATTTGAGACTTGAAT